GGAGCTGAAACAGAGAGATCCGTCTGTGTTTCAGATTCTCCTGGAGCTGAAACACAGAGATCCGTCTGTGTTTCAGATTCTCCTGGAGCTGAAACAGACAGATCCGTCTGTTTCAGATTCTCCTGGAGCTGAAACAGACGGATCCGTCTCTCAGAGCCTTTGCTGCTCCTCCTCTGGAGCTCTGGAGGCTGCAGACCCAACCGGCTGCTCCTCAGAGGCTAAAGGAGGCGCAGGCCAAAGAGCTGAGGAGTGATTGGAGACAGGAGCATGACCTTTGACCTCAGGCCTGTTTTACCTCCTTCAGGACGTCCTCCAACACCACCGGGTCGCTCAGGTCCAGAGAGGAGTCCCCCCCCAGCCTCAGTCTCACCACTTGCTTTAAGACAGGGGCTTTAAGAACAAAAAAACAACTTCACCAGTCACATTAATACTTTTTCATCTGTACATAGAAATCTGATTTCCAACATCTTCTGCTGTGGAGATGGAGATGGGTAGCTCACCTCGATAGCAAACAAAGGCCTTCTCCTCCCCGCAGCTCCAGGTTTCCCATCTCCCGTAGTCCTGGAAGTTAGCTGCTGCACAGTCGTCGGCGGGGCCATTGGGGTCCGCTGCCCCCCAGAGGCTAAATGGGAATTTACCTCCGTCCACCCACTGCCAGGAGTACCTGAAGAGCCCGATCCAGGCAGACTGCCCAAAGGGAACCAGCCGCTGCAGCCTCTGGTTCTCCGCCGCGTCCCTGACCACGGCCAGGTCCGTGTGCCTCCCCCGGCAGTGGCTCTGGGCCTGGTTCCAGGGCAGCGCCAGGCCCACGTACACAAAGCTCACCGCGGGGCCTGGAGGGAGGCACAGAGGTCTGGAATCAGCCCTATGACCCGAGGAGGAGGATCTGGAATCAGCCCGGGACCACCCAAAGGTCTGGAATCAGCCCGGGACCACCCACACAGGTCTGGAATCAGCCCTATGACCCGAGGAGGAGGATCTGGAATCAGCCCGGGACCACACACACAGGTCTGGAATCAGCCCGGGACCACCCACACAGGTCTGGAATCAGCCCTATGACCCGAGGAGGAGGATCTGGAATCAGCCCGGGACCACACACACAGGTCTGGAATCAGCCCGGGACCACACACAGGTCTGGAATCAGCCCGGACCCGAGGGGGGGAGCTCACTGAGCTGCTGTCACACAACTGTGAGACAACTCCATTCATCCGTCTTCTGCTCAGGGGGTCCGTGGCAGCAGCACAGAGACACACAACCACACACACTCACTGGGCCTTATAGACTCAGTTCACCCCACAGGATAACTTTGGATGGGGGGAGGAAGCTGGAGAACATAGCAAGAACCAACACAAGCAAGGGGTTGAACAGAGAACCCTCTGCATCCATCATCCATCCATCATCCATCCATCATCCATCCATCATCCATCCATCCATCCATCATCCATCATCCATCCATCCATCCATCCATCCATCATCCATCATCCATCCATCCATCCATCCATCCATCCATCCATCC